AGCCTGCATTTAGAACATAGACAACAAATTTCTAACTTTCTAGTTGGTAAAAATTCTTTTATAGCTTTTGGAAATTTATCTGCTGCAATATAGAATCCGGGAGGGAAAAAATCAATGTAATGTTTGTCTACTGTTTTTGTTTCACAAATTGGATTTGTCCAAGTTTGTTTCACTGCAAAGTGAAACCACTAATGATTAGTCTAAAATTAATCATTTCAAAAACTGCCGAATTTTGCTGACATTATTTTATTCTTTAAGAAGATTTTTTTTCCTGAACCTTAAGATTTAAAGATAGGGACAAAATCTTGTTGCTTTTAAAAATGATGGTGGGCAATTAAATCAATCAAAGTTTTCCTTCAGTAAGGAGACAAGATTTTCTTTATGGAGATGAAGAATTAAAACTTTTAATTTCTCCATCCTAGATTCCTTAATAGTATTTGCTTATGAGGAATTAAACTTTTAATGTCTCCATCCTATAAGCCTTAATACTACTTACTTAACAAAAATGTGCATACTGATGAGATCCTATATTTCTGTACTTGAAAATGCATAAATAATAGTTTTTACTGACTAATGATTAAAGTCCTCTTCCACTCTATATTTTGATGCTATCTATAGTAGATTTGAGGTTGAGATGCACCTTCAAAACAAATAATTCCACACATAGAAATAGTGGTATCCCTGAGAAGGCTCTTTTCTATCACAATGTTATAAATAGGTAAGTCAAAAGTTATATTCTTTTATTAAAATAAGATTTCCTTTCCATGCCTTGAGCCACAATGCACAGCAAGCTGCCTTGTTTTCCCCATCAAATTGTAGCACTTTTAAAACCAATAAGTGTCTGTTTCATTTTGTTGCCTTCAAAAAGGATAACGGTGTATTTATTCTGGGATTGTGTTCACACACTTTGAGAAAGGTTTGATATCAATATTACAGAAAAAGTTCCTAAAGGCACAATGTTTATTCATCTTCTGGACCATCTCTCTCTCTCTCTCTCTCTCTCTCCCTCTC